ATGTTTTAATTTTTTTTTACTTGTTACTGTCTTTGTTTGATCAAGCTTACATTCTTATGTTCAGTGGACTAAGCAACTTCATTGAACAGTATGTAATATAGCAACAACTGTAAATTTCTATCATTTTGTTTTGAGGTCATGTATCATTTTTATTGTTTTTCTGTTGTTTTAATTTTGTCTTGTCAGTTTTTTAATTTTTAAAATTAAAAAAATGCTAAGTATTCATTTTCTTGAACAGTTTATTCTATTTTATATAAAATCATATAGTAAAATAATCATAAAATTGCACCTAGCAGAAAATACGTCAGGGGCTGGGGATTTAGCTCAGCGGCACAGTGCCTGCCTGGCAAGTGCAAGGTCGTGAGCTCGATTCCCGGTATAGGAAATAAACAACAAAAAAGAAAACAGGTCAACTTCCTTTGGTTCCATTGCCAAACTTGCTTGTTTTTAGGTTTGAGACAAGATCTGGCTATTTTCAAGGTTCAGGCTAGCCTTGAACTTGCTATGTAACCCAGACTGGCACTATTCTGCCTCAGCCTCCCAGTGCTAGAATTCCACCTAAACTTGCTTTTTGGTTTTTTTTTTTGTCTTTTTTGAGGCAGGGTTGCCCTATGCAGTTCAGGCTGGATTTCAGATCACTTTGTAGCCCAGGTGGGTCTGGAACTCACAAGGATCCTCCTGCCTCAGCCTCCCGAGTGTGGGGATTACAGGTGTGCACTACCACATCCGGCCCAAACTTGTTTTTGAAACTGAAATTATTGATACAACATGACCATATGCTCATATGCAGATAAAAATCAAGGACGTCTGCCCTTTTGGAGACCAAGGTAAGGTTTCCCCTCATTCTTTGGCTTCTTTTTTGTCTACATGTATTATGACCTACTTACTTTTATTACTATAAATTCAACTTTTATCTGTCCTTAAAAGCTTTGCCTGAGCTGGGTATGGTGGTGCACATCTGTAATCCCACCACTCAGGAGGCTGAGGCAGGGGGATCCTTGTGAGTTTGAGACCCGCCTGGGCTACAAAGTGAGCTCAATGCCAGCCTGAACTGCATAGCGAGACCCCATCTCAAAGAGACAAAAAAAAAATATAAAATTTTTTTTAAAAAAAAGCTTTGCCTATTGGTCTCTTTCTCCTCTACCAACAAATAAAATTCAAGGGGCATGGTTTTTTTTTCCTCCCTTGATACTGTTTTGTTCAGAATCTTCTGACACTTATATTTTCCATGTCAGAATTTAAGCTATTCCAAGGCAAAGACCGGTTTAGTCAGCCTCAAAATGAGTCAATGTCTTTTCACGTAGGAGCTCCGGCTTAATAGCTTTTGTCTTGGGCAGAACCCTCAGTTCCCTTACAGACTGGGAATAACAGCACCTATACCACAAATTTGTTGAGGGCTCATAAGAGAATATGTAAAACTGCCTGTCTTTATCATTTGATAATGGTTAGCTACTGCTTTCATTCTGTCCCCAAAGCAACAGCCTTACATGCTGTAGCCATTCAACTATTATTTGTTGGTAGTTTACGCTAGTAAGTACACTCCTCATACACAGAAATACATGAGTATTAATGTGTCTGACGGACCATCATGATTAACTGTGATCTAGTGGCACTTTCAAATGCTTAGATTAGCAATTTAGGACGATTCTTCATCATCTAGATCAGCGCTGTCCAGTTTAACTTTCTGCAAAGCTGAAAATGTGCTATAATCGTCACTCTCCAACACAGTAGCTATTACCCTTATGCAGCTATTGGGCTCTTAAAATTCCTCCACAGCAACTAAAATGGAATTTCCTCATTTGGTTTATTTTTAATAGCTCCTCCTGGTGACTACTGAATTGGACAGCACAGCTTCAGAAACTGTTTCTATCAGCCCTTTACTGAGAACTGAACCCCAAGGCCTTCAGACTGAGCTACTATCCCAGCTCTTTCTAAATTCTTGAGACTGTGTCTCCCCTAAATCGCTTAGGCTGGTCTCAAACTTGTGATCTTCCAGCTCCAGCCTCCCAGAGTTCTGGGATTACAGGCCAGTTTCACTATGCTCGGCTGTCAGCAATCTTTTAAACTCACCTATGTCTTCTTTCTCTACAAAGTAACCCTCACTGATCAAACGCATCTTCTTTGTTTTGTTTTGTTTCCGGTACCGGGAACCGAACTCACGACCTTGCGCTTGCCAGGCAGGCGCTTTTGCCGCTGAGCTAAATCCCCAGCCCCCTCAAACGCATCTTCTTATCTCATCCCGTTTTTTCTTTAGCTGCTACTCTCCGGTTCACTGGGAAATCTCAAGGCCTGGCACGAGAAACAGTATCCACATCAGCCCAACACCCAAAGAGCCTGGCACCAGACTACGCGAGCCAAACGGCAAGCAGCGCGAAATCACCGAGTCCCGGCCTCGTGCAGCTTGATACCGAGGTTTGCCGCGAAAGCAAACAGACCCCGAGCCAGGCGTGGCAAACACGTGAGCGGAGGGCCGCCTCCCCCGCCCCCGCGCGGATGTCTCCCACGCCGGCACGGCTCGTTCCGGTCCCCACCCAAAGAGCGCCCCGAAAGTGGCCTTGCCCTGCTGCCCTAGACGAATCACGCCTCCTGCCGTGTAGGCCGCAAACTGGCACAGCCCGCCCCTCGAAATCCCGCTTCGGGGCCCTACCCACCACTCCCACTGCTCCCAACCCCCTCCAAAATGGCGGCCGAGCCTCAGGAAGCAGCCACAGAGAGCCCGCCTTCCACGGAGAGCGCGCCGGCGCCCTGGCGCGGGCCCCCGCCGCACGCGGCCTCGCCTTCCGGCGGAGGCGGGTAAAGGGGGCGTGTCTCTAAGGGGCCCCTCTAGGAGAACAGCGCGCAGTCTCCATGGTGCCCGGTCGTGCGAGCCGTATCACGTGGCCGGTGAATGCCGTTGCGGAGGCTGGGGAGGAGAAATGGGCGGGAGGGCCGTGGAATAGCTAGAGACCCGGCGAGCACGGGGTTGTCATGGATCCGTGGGGCTGGGCTCGCGCATGCGCCGCCTGACCTGAGGGGCCGGTTGTGGAGCCGCGACCCCGGCCCTAGGTGAGAAAGGCAGGGCTCGGCTCGCTGGCAAGGGTGTTGCGGGTGGCGCGACCTGGGACGGCTTGGGCGAGAGCGCCGGAAAAGCAGGTGGAGAAGGGGACAGAGCACGCGGGGGCGAGGTGGGCACGAGGGAAAACCGGACTTTCGGGGGACGGAGGCCAAATGGTGGGAGCTGAGGGGCGCACCGCCCTCTGCGCCGTCTACTTGGTTCTCGCTGCGGGGCGGGCCCGCGTGGGAAAGGGAGGCGCGCGCGGGCCGGGAGGGTCGCGAGTGGCGAAGAGCTTGTGGGAGTCCGCGGGGTGAGTCCTGGGGCACGTGGGCCCCGGTCCTTTGCTGGGCGCCACTGCCCGCCGTGTGCGCGGGCAGAGCCGGGGGCCTGGGGCGGGGGCGGAGGCCGGGGAGGGGCAGGTGCGTGGGCGCGAGTGTTGCCGGGGTGAGGGTCCCCGACCTTCAGTTACCTGCGGTCTGGCGCCGGCGCAGGTGTGCTGTCTTTTCCAAAGACAGCCACGCCGCACTTTGCTGGTTATTTTTTCAGGGTGGCCAGCTTGCCAAGCATGGTACCAGGGGTAGGGATGTGGGAGAAATGGTGGGCAGTGCTAAGGAGTTAGTGGTTATGGGTGATTATGGGGTAATTCTGATCAGAGCCCAAGCCAGAACCCCCTCTCTTTGGTATTGCCCAAGTCCTGGGAGTTTGCCCTGGGAGTTGGTGGTAAGCCAGTCTCTGCACAGTCGTAGGGTCTGCCCAGTTCTGCCCTGCTGAGCTGGCAGGCTGGTGGACGCCTGGAGGGAGCACATGCTGTTTGGCACAGATGCAGCGTGGGCTGGTGCGAATGGATAGGTGGGTGCTGTTAGTGTGAACTCTATAGCCGGGATTTGAGAAAGTTCTGCAGTCCCTTTGGGGAAGAGCATGATACCTGGTTTCAAACATAGGGAATTATGTGGAATCACTGTTTAGGTTCTTTGACAAGAATTTTCAGCCAAATTTGAGGATGGGAATGAATGTGAAGGGGAAGATGAATATTTTAATAGAGGAGTTTTTTTCCACCTGTGTATTAAAATACACAGATATTCTGCTAGAATGCTACCTCTGAATATACAGACCAAAAGAAAATGACTTCAGAGAAAAAAAACCAGTAACATGTTTATGATTCTGGCATTACTTACGGTTTTGTGGGAGGTAAATTTGTTATTTGCTGTTGCCTTATCAATTTATTTAAACCTCTGCTTGGGCTTTCACCTCTCACACCTCTCTGTGCACGAATGTTATACACGTGACACATTTTAAAGGGAGCGTGAGCTCTTAGGAATTTTGCCAAGTATCTATAAAAGGAGAGAGCTGAAAGCTGCATTTCAGATCCTTTCCTTTTGTAACCCTTGGGTGTCCTTTTGATCAGAAATGCAAATCAGTGACATTTGGGATCCCACCGACTTTCAATATGGTTGGTGGATTTGCCTCTAAGGTGTTTAAGGGGTAGATTAAATAGCTGTTTCCAGCATTGGACCAGACCCGGAGGCTGGATCTGGAATTGACCATGGTGTTTGGAAATGCAAAATCTTTACCTTCAAGATGTTCAAAGTATTTTGATGACAGCTAAGCTATGCTGTGGCTGTCAGAGACTCAACAGGACAGAGATTTGTTGAAATGTATTCTCTTGAATAATTCACATTGTTGGGAGCTGAGGTAGCAAAGATTAAAACAAAAACAACACTTGAATCGAGGAGACAGATAATTAGACTCTAATGTAAGAAGTGCAAAAATAGAAGTGCTGTGCACGCCTGTAATCCCAGCACTCGGGAGACTGAGGCAGGAGGGATGCCTGGACTATATAGAGAGTTTGGGGCCAACCTGAACTACAAAGCAAGAACCTGTTTCAAAAAACTTTTAAAAAGGCAAGAATTTTATACCAATCTATATAGACATGTAGTTGTTACTTTCCATTATGAATTTTACTGTATACTATCCTGTCTGGGAACTTTGTGGACAGTGTGTAACATATACACTAGAGGCCCAGTGAGGATGAGTTCTGAAAGTTTGGGAATTTAAATTAGTCTTTTTAGTGAAGAGTAAGGTGCTTGGGGTCAGAGATGTTTGTAAAGCAGTGTTGGTAGCCTACAGCCTGTGCTGGAAGCCAAAAGATGAGAAAATGGGTGAGAGTTTATGCTTAACCACCTTCAATGCCTTGTCTGCTTGTGAGCATCTAATATTGTCAAATAACAAACACCAAGCAAGAAAGAACTCCGGCAACTTCTTAAGTTTTCATCCGCTGTCGTTTGGGTGGCCCTAGGTTTGAGAAGTGCTGGTGGTAGCTGCTGGTGCTGCTGCTTTGTCAAGGACTTCTTCCATGCTGTGTACACTGGGGTCTGCTGTTATTGGCTGATTGACACCAGCAGCCTACTCCATCTCAGAGGAAAGAGTGGGGGAGGAATGCAGCTCTTCTGCTCTCTCCCACAGGAGCCTTCCCGCTCCCTAAAGAGCACTTTATCTGGGACAGTGGCTTTCATATTTTTGTCACATCCAAAATAGTCAGTTTACAATTCTAAAGTTAATTATATTAATTCTTTATTTGCAATTGCTGACAGCTCCCAGGCTTTAAAATGTTAGCATCTGTTTTTTTAGCCAGTTTGTCAGTTTCATTGTTTTGATTTTATGATCAATATTTTCTACAGATTCTCAATGAGCCAGAATAAATTCCTTTCTATTTTCTATAGCTTTTATTGGCCACATTTATTTATTTATTTATTTATTTATTGATCAGGTTTTAGAGTAGCTTTCATTTTTAAAAAATTGTTATTATTTTGGTTTTTTGAGACAGGGTCTTGTTAAAGAGTTCAGGCTGGCTTTGAACTGCCTGTGTAGCCCAAGCTTTAGTCTCCCAAGTGCTGGGATTACAGGTGTGTTCCATCACCCCTGGCTTATATGTATTTATTTTTTAATACCGTCTCACTAGGTAGTTCAGGCTAGTCTTGAACTCACTATGTAGCCCCGGCTGGCTTTGAATTTACAGCAGTCCTGCCTCAGCCTCCTGAGTGCTGGATTATGAGAGTGTGCCACCACACCTGCTGGCCATACTTTAATAACAGTAGCAAGACTATCATCCTCCCTTCTCTTGTCATGAGGATTATAAAAGAATAAATTAGAAAGCTTCTATAAAGTGCTGCAAAATAATCCATGTTTAGTAAGATGATATGAAACTTTGTCAGGTTCTTAATTAGTTGCAACTAATACGAACTGCTTTCCTAATCAGGTCAGACCTGCATAAGTCTGGATGCCCATCTGCGAGCTACATCTACTTCCATATTGACTTTTGAACAGTATTATTTTAAGAAAATTACACTATGTACATATGTTGGGTTTCATACAAAAGAACCTTGATTTAATTAGAGATACAGTTTTACATTTTAATCTGCTTTTTAAACTGGCTTGTCCATGCTTTCATCATAGTTGTCAAAGAGGCATTGCTTTTTCATAGTGCTCTGCAAAATGTGACAGTGCCATTGCTTACCTTTTATACAAATAGGATTAAGCCTGGGACCCGAGGAAGAGTACTTGATTTGACATGAACTGAATGAGGAAGCCAGTCCCTGTCCTCTTCAGCGAGTTAGTTATGGGGCTAAATCATTTTTACTTGAGATTGTGTGTAGAATTCACTCATTCATACCTGTTTGTGTTCCCGTTAGTCCACTTCAGCTATATGCAAAAGTATGAACCAGAGGGTTGCTCAGGGATGCTTTTCAAAGATGCTCTAAAGTATCCTCATCTTCTGTTTAATTTTATTGTGAATTTCTCCTCTGGTGTTCATCCCTAGATTCTACATTAGCAGAAATGTTCGGGCCTGGCCCTTCTGGGTATTCCAGGTACGGTGCTCTTTGGCCAGGGCCTGGTGTTTCTCTCTACTCAGAAGGACAACAGGACGGAGCCACGAATGGATTGTACACGAAAACTTAGCAGGTTTTGCGTCCCTACCCATTTTCATTATTGGTGTTTCCGTGTTGCCTTCATTTCTACAGTATCCTTGGTGTTCTTATCCTTCCAGCCTTGTAACTGCCCTTCCTGGGTGACTTAATATTTGTTAAAACATGGGGGGGTGGGCTGGAATGTTCTCAGCCTCTGCCAGCTGTTCTGGAGGCTGATCTGCCTCATTCTTACAGAAAGCCCTTCTGGACCTCATTGAGGTCCAGAAAAGGCCACATTGTTAATCCCATGGAAAAGTTACTGGAAGTCTAATAAGTTAATTCCAGTCTACCACTTCCAGTACAATGCATGGCAAGAATAAAGACACTAAGGCATATTTGTTACTGTGAGGAGCCAAGGGGGTTCTAAGTCCAGGCAGAATGATGGCTGACTGGAACAGAGGCCTCGAGACAGGACCAAACCCGGATTGCATTCATTTGTGAAGAGGGGAGTGGCTGGGGATGAGTGACTTGGAGAGAGTGGTAAGCGGCAGGGGAAGTAGCTAAGTGCTGTGAGCTGGGCTAGGTAGGAGGCCTGACGTCACTTCTGTAATGTGCAGAGAGGGAGGAAGGGACAGAGATACAGAAAGAGTAATCGGTGTATCACAGATTGGGGCAGTATCTAGTGCTTTTGGGTCAGTGCTTTAGTTTTTTTTTTTTTTTTTTTTTTTTTTTCTCCGGTACCGGGAACCGAACTCACGACCTTGCGCTTGCCAGGCAGGCGCTTTTGCCGCTGAGCTAAATCCCCAGCCCCTCAGTGCTTTAGTTTTGATGTGTAATTTTCAAGCCCTGAAAAGTCACAGCCTCTCTTTACTTTTTTTTTTTTTTTTTTTGATACCGGGAATTGAACTCACGACCTTGCGTTTTGCCAGGCAGGTGCCGTGCCGCTGAGCTAAATCCCCAGCCCCCATAGCCTCTCTTCTCATTCTCATTCTCAGGCTCATTCTCAGCTGACAGCATAGTGTCTCTCAGCCTAGCTCATACATAGTACTTGGAAGCTATAAGTGGGGCATCACTGACCTGTCACATTGCTTTAAATACTACACATCAGCACCTCCACTAGACCCATTTGCATTGTTTAAAGCCAGTTGAGGGAGTAAGGCAATGTCCTACCCAGCTCTGTACACATCAACACAGGTAAGGCCAGATGCACTTCTTTTAAGGAGAGCAGTCCAGGTGGTCCTCTGTAATTCTTGCCCTGTCAGCCCTGGTCTGGATATGCTGGACTAGCTGTTAAGTCTCTGAGGCAAACATGGGCTTCTCCCTTGGCCTCTAGTCTTAATTTGTGACTTCCTACCCAGCATCTTGGATGACCCACGGTCATTTCAGTCTCTGGTAAGCAAACTGAACTAGCATAGCCATACCTGCCATCCCATCTAGCTCCCTTCTGTGTTCTTGTTGGGCTTCGAAAATGGTACCATCACACACACACTAGTATAATAACCATGTCCCTTCAGGTCAGCTTCTGCGTTTCCATCACCCCACTCTGGGGTCACTACTGCCATTCGCTTGGTCTGCGGCAGTAGTGTCCACATGATCTTAGTGCCACTTTTGCCCATCTTCACCTTCAAATGCAGATTTGGGCTTGGGATGTAGCTCAGTGGTAGAACACTTGCTTAGCAAGTGTGAGGCCCTGATTCCATCCCCAGCACCACAAAAAAAGAAAAAAAATCTGATCATGTCAGCTCTTCTGAGGCTTCCTAATGCTCATAATATCCAAAGCCTTTCTAAATGGATTTCCAGGCACTGCCTGTCCTCCCCCCATCCCCTAGTGTCACTGCATAGCAGTCTCTCCCTGTCTGTTGTGCTCTGACTTCCCTGGCCATGCTGTCTGAGTGCCAGTCTCCTTGCTCCCTTAGGGCCTTCACAGTGCCTGGACAACACCTGCAATACTCTACCTGTTACCTTTCAGGTGGCTAACTCCTGCTGACTCCACACTCTCCAGGTCCCAGGGGCGTGGCACTGCTTCAGTCCCCCAGACTACTAGCCTTCTCTCTTCATAGCACCAATCAAAATAGTGGTTATGTGATTACTTGCTCTTTTTCTAGATCATAAGCTCCAAGAAGGAAGTGAACATGTTTATCCACTCAGTATCCCGGTGCTAGCACAAGGCTCGCCTGATTTATAGTAAGCACTTGATAAACATTTTTAAATTTATTACATTTTAGGTATACATAATGATAACATTCATCATAGGAAATTTGTACTGTGTGTGATATATCTTGAGTCTTTTTCCTTCATTCCCCTACCCTCCCTTCGACTCCTTTTCCCCTCCCTATCTACAAAAGCTTTGTTTACATTTTTCGGTTTTTTTGTTGTTTTTTTCTTTTCCCTTCCTTTTTCCCCTATCCACCTCCCTAGTTTCCCTTCCCACTTGAACATTTTGTTCCTATTTCACAGTATCTCTTAATACATTTTGGTCCTTATTTACACTTTCAGTTTCTCAAGCCAGAGAAATAATGCGCTATTTACACATATGTGCCTGATTTATTTTACTTAAGAGTATGTTCTCAAGGTGCATGCATTTACCTGGAAATGTCTCAATTATCCTTCTATAAGGATAATTTTACTCTGTTCAGTCCTTTATCCAAAGGACTGAGAAGTTTATGTTAGAGGTTGATACTGTGGGAGGTGACAGTAAATTACAAGCCTGCAGATGTATACCAGGAGAGCAAGTCTTCTTGTGCAACGTTACCTCTGCTTTCCTCAGGCAGGAGGGCCAACTGATTTGGTTACCCATTCCAGAATGCCTAATCAAATGTGCCTTTGTTAGCATTTCACAAAGCTTCTACTGAATGTGGTTTGTGTGCCTTGAATCTGTAATGGCATTGGAAGGCAGTAAGAGAACTGTGAAAATCCTTTTGGGTGAAAACCATTTTGTTTAGTAAACTTGAAGCTGTTGTCAGTTGAGACTTGAGAAAATATAAATGAAGTGGGCGAGGCAGTGTTCTTTGTCCTTACTTTAATCATCATTTGGTCACCTGTTTCAGCTCCCTAGGCAATGTCTTTTTTATGTAACTCTTGTTTCTCATAGGGCAATCCAGAGGCAAAGAGTACTGATAAACCTTCCTCCCAACCCAGTAAAACATGGAGCGGAAAATCCCGTCCAGAGAGAGCCCCAGAAGACTCTCAGCCAAGCAAGGCAGAGGCACAGAGATGAAGAAAGCGGCTCGTCAAGTTGGTGCGGTGGCTGCCGAGTCAGATAAGGACTCTGGATTTTCAGGTTAAAAATACCTTATCCTTTCTACATTTTAATGAATGATTTGCCTAAAAAATGTCCTTCCTAAAACTTATTGTGGGATAAGGATGGGAAATTTTCACCCATAAGATAAATAAACTTTTATTTTTTATGATAGGGTTTTGCTGTGTAGTTTAGGCTGATCTTGAATTCACTATGTAGCTCAGGCTGGCATTCTTGGTGATCTTCCTGCTTCAGCCTCCTAAGTGTTTTGATTACAGGCATGTGCCACCATGCCTACCTGTATCTGATCTAAAATGGTGATTCTGATGCCATATGGTAGGTTATCCATCAAAGTGAGTAGGGTTAGCTCTGAAAGAATGATTTGACATCTTTTTTCAATTTAGACCCTTGACTTGAAAACTTATGTCCCCTACTATTAACTTGAAACCTTACAACCCCAACTACTGTAAATGGTTACTGGGGAAAATATTCAAATATTTGTAATTCTGTTGTGTTAACTCCTTTTTCATGGGAATAGTTATATTCAAGGAAAAAGTACCACGGCATGTTGTCATCATGTAACAAATTTGAAAGCTGCCAGTTAAAAGTAGTACAGTCTTGCATCAGTTAATGAGGGGAGTAAGTTTTGAGAAAAGAGTCCTTAGGTGATGCTTGTCATCTTGTGAATCCTATAGAGTCTACTCGTACAAACCTAGGTGGTGCAGCCTGCTACATACCTAGGCTATCTGGTATAGCCGTCATCCAACATGCAGCCCATCATTGCCTAAACCGTCAGTATGTAGCACATGACTGTATAATTTTTGACTAAAAAAAGTAATTTCACTGTGCTTTAAAAGTTGCCTCCCTCTAACAATCTTTCCTCCTCCATTTCTGAACGTTTTCTTTCTGGACTATGAGCCACCTGGCTCGACTCTAAAATTGAGTATCTACTGACACAAGAAAGTAGAATAGCTTTCATTACTAGCTTACAAACTTTACCCAAATGGGCTGGCTACATCCCCTGGAAACTCTTAATTTTATGCTGAGGCTTTTTTTTTTTTTTTTTTGGAAAATATCACTATAAATTAATAAATCAATAAAATTGATTGATTTGCTCATGAACCTGGATAATACAAATTTTCAAATTTGTTACATGATGACAACATGCTGTGGTACTTCTTCCTTGAATGTAACTATTCCCATGAAAAAGGAGTTAACACAACAGAGTTACAAATATTTGAATATTTTCCCCAGTAACCACTTAGAATAGTTGGGGTGTAAGGTTTCAAATCAATGGTAGGGGACATAAGATTTCAAGTCAAGGGTCTAAATTGAAAAAAGATGTTTCATTATCCCTAGATTTGAGGATAGTGACTTGAACTACTCTGAAATGTTGAACTAATGTCAACGTTTTTGGCCCAGGGGATGCAGAGTTCATGCCAGGGGATTTGGGCTGAGTTAGCAACTTAAGATTGGAACCTTCTCTAGGGAAAATTTATATTATCCAGGTTCATGGGCAAATCAATCATTTTTATTGATTTATTAATTTATAGTGAGAAAAGCAGGTGTTAGGAAAACTAGAACTCTCACATCTCATGTATTTTCACCTTGTGGGCATGCTGAATGAGAAGCCAAATTACAGGCACACTGTTATTCAACTAGAACAGAGCCTGACCAAGGGATTAGAATAAGAGGAATTAGTTGGCTGCCTAGGGAAGGTGGCATTTTGGGTTTTTCTTCCCTGTCTAGACATTGTTTACCAAGTTGCCTCATCATAAGTCTACCCCAGGTTCATTCAAGACACTGATGCTCAGACCCTCACCTGGACAGTCTGATACCGAGAGGCTGAAGGAGGGCCTGGAATGTGCGATTTTCAAAACAAGTACCTCGATCAGACAGGTTTGGGAAACATGGCAGCCACAGTGACTCTTTTTTTGTTTAGTATTATAAATGCTTTTTATTTTTGTTCCTTGTCATGAAGGTAATATGTGCATTGTAGAAGCTTAGACTCTTAGGGAAGTCAAAGAAGAAAGTATCCATTGTCCATAGTCCTGCCATCTATAACTGCCGGTATTATTGACAGTTTGGTACTCTTCCAACAACTGTAGCTTTTTGTCAGGCCAGTTCTTTTAAGAAATACTGCACTGTTCACACATAGGATGGTATTACAAAGAATCAAACTCATTATGTACAGAAGGGCCCCAGTAAATGCCTACAGCCACTCCTGGGCCTGATGCCAGTGATTTTGTTACTGCCTAAGTTGTTCCTTTTACCTTGAAGTATGATGAAGTTCGTAAAATCAGAATTGTGTTTTTCATTTAAATTATTTTCCTAACTTTATATTTGGCAAAATTCAATCTCTGAATTTCAATTGAAATTATGTCCAGAATAAATAAACACTCCCATAAGAAAGATGTTTTCTTTCAGATCCAGGTGTGGTGGTACACGTCGTAATCCCACCACACTGGGAGGCTGAGGCAGGGAATTGCAAGTTTGATCCCAGACTAGGCATGTTAGCAATGTAGTGAGAACCTTGCACAAAGGAAAAATAAAAAAGGGCTGGGGATATGGCTCCGTGTGAAAGTCCTGGGTTCAATTCCTGGTACCATCAAAAAAAAGAAAATGACTGAATGTTTTCATATTGCCACACATGCTTTTTTTTCTCTTTTTTTTCACACACAGGCTAAACTGTTTAAAAGTAAGTTTCAAATACTTAATATTTCATCTGTAATACTTAAATTAAGTATGGAGCTCCTCAAAAGGACATTTTTTTATATAATTATAATATGACTCCCAAGAAATTTAATACTGATACAGTTATTATTAGTTGTAGGATATATTGAAATTTCCTCCTTTGTTCCAATAATGTCAATTACAGCTGCTTATCTTTGTCTGTTTGTTTTGGATCAGGATGCAGCTGAAGATCATTCATTGTATTCGGCAGTGCTGCCCTTTTAGTCTGTTTTTTTGCTCTTATTTATTAGCTTCCCCATCTGCCTTTCTCTCTCCCTGCCTGACATTGATATCTTTAAGAAAGTCAAGCCTGTTGTTTTGTAGTGTTTCACACTCTGGATTTTTTGGTACTTTCTCCATTATTGGAATCAGAGTAAAATTTTAACTGAAATACTACATTGCTGATATTATGCTCTTTCTAGTGCAACACATAATTAGACTCATAAATTATTCTTGGTGATGCTCTGGTTGATCACTTGGTTAAGATGATGTGCATTAAATTTTATTGTAAAAATACTCTCTTTGTAATAAATAATTTGTGGAGTGATACTTTGAGATTGTATGACTATTCTGCTCTGCACCCAACTCTTTTTTTTTTTTTTTTTTTTTTTGAGACTGGGTCTTGCTATGCAGTTCAGGCTGGCCTTGAGCTCACTTTGTAGCCCAGGATGGTCTTGAACTCACAACGATCCTCCTGCCTCGGCTTCCTGAGTGCTGGGATTACAGGCATACACCACCATGCCAGGCTTCCCCACCCAAATCTTGACCAGTAGTTTTACCATCCATTCATGATTCTTGCCTGAATCAGCTATTGTATTTGCTATGTGTTAATGGTTTAAAATTGTAATCTTCTGTTGTTCTTTATCCATCATTAACTGACACTCTTCTGTAAAAAAAGATAGTGCTTCACCTCTTCTGTTCTCTTCTTGAGTATCAGTGCATTCATGAAATTGTTTTGTAATTCAGTTTGTTAAATTCATTATTTCTGACACTCAAATTGCCCAAAATTCAGCCAGTGGGAGTCCCATCTAGGTACCCTTTCCTCTTTCTGATGTGTCCTTACTAGTGTTCGGTCACCTCCTTACTTTTGAGAACAAGCTGTCCAGGCTTATCTGGTATCTTTGCAGCCGAAGGGGTGTAGCAGCTTTTCTCTAAGGACCCCTGGTTTCCTTCATATGCAGAAGGGAGTTTAGAAACGAAGATCCAGGTTCTGAGTCTCCACTGGAATCATTTGTTTCTAGCTGAATAGTTTTTAACTAGTGCACGCATTTGGGTTAGTTGTGCTTTTATAAATATACTTACCCAGGCACGTGGTAAATTAATTCATTTAGATCAAGGTGAGGACCCCAGCAGCCATAATTTTTTGAGATGTGTCCCTGGGAATTCTGAAACATAGCTCTGTTGATAAATATTCTTTTGATCACAGTCTTTCCCAAGCTGCAGAGAATACAGTTGTTGATAGGTGCTTTTATTTATTTATTTATTTTTGTATGTGTGTCTTTTTGAGGCAGGGTCTCGCTATGTAGTTCAAGCTGGTCTTGAGCTCACTTTGTAGCCCAGACTGGTCTCGAACTCGCAACGATCCTCCTGCCTCAGCCTCCGGGGTGCTGGGATTACAGGCATGTGCCACCACGCCTGGCTTTTTTTTGTTTGTCTTCTTTTTGGTGCCAGGAATGGAACTCAGGACCTTGGGCTTGCCAGGCAGGCGTTTATGCCCCTGAGCTATACCACCCTGCCCAGTGCTTTCATTTAAATTACATTTACTTTCCATTCTCACCTCATCCAGATTACTCTGAGATACTCCCCCGCGACTGGAGACTGAACCCAGAGCCTTCATACTGAGTTATACCTTCATCCCTTGAATGTTTTTTGTTTTTTTTTTTTTAATTTTGAGACAGAGTCTCACCAAGTTACTCAAGCTTGGCTCAAGCTTTTGATCTTTTTGCTTCATGACCATACTCAGCTAACTCTGAGATTCCTGGTGAACATTTAGGATTGTCCCAGACTCCGTAGCAGAATCCAAAAGTCTTTCAGTTTCCTGCAGCAGTTATCTAAATACTTCCTTTTTGTGTGGCATTTACATAGGGACAACTTCATTCTCCTTGCATTGGTGAGCATCCTTCTAGCACCCTTAGTATGTAGGGTCCCTGGTAGGCACACCCATTGCTCAGGACACCAGCAAAAGAGGTGCTTAGCAGGGTTGAAGGGGCCAACAAAGAAGCATTTAAACTTTGGCTTAAATTTATTCACAGTTTTACACTTGGAAATTTCAGGAAGACTCTGGGAGCGGGGAGGATTACAAATTCAGGTCCAGCCTGGGCAACTTAGTGACTTAGTGAGATCTTGCCTCAAAATTAAAACAAAACAAAACAAAATGATAAAAGAACTGGGGATGTGCCTTAGTGTGGAAGGCCCTGGGTTTAATTCCGGTACTGGGGGTGGGGGTGGGTTTAAGAAGAAGCTGTTTTAACTTCAGTGTAGACGTAAGTTTTGATATTTACAGGTTGGTTTTATTTTTATCATTGTTTTGTTGCCCAGAAGACTTTTAGTCTTAATCCTGCCAGGGAACCTATGCTCTTCTCCCTTCTCAGCCGCACTTTTTTTTTGGTACTGGAAATTGAACTCAGGACCTCATGCTTGCCAGGCAAGTGCTGCGCTGCTGAGCTAAAGCCCCAGACCTGACAACAGATTTTTGAATTTAGAGTAATCAGCTAACTTTGAAATCTTTAACTCATTTCGCCCATAAACGTGATGATTACTTTCACAGGAACCCTAACTAACACAAGTTTTTCTCTATAAGAGAACAAGGGCCAGGTGTGTGGTGGTGCACACTCAGGAGTGACTTCAAAGCCAGCCTGGGCTACATAGTGAGATCGTGTCTCCAAAAAAAAAAAGAGGAAGTAAGTCAAGCAGAGCAGCAATTCTTAATATTTTGGAGTGGGAAGGATCCCATTTAATATCAATGAAAGCTAAAGACCTCAGAAAAATTCACAAAAACATTATCACAGATGTTCCTTTCCATTTTAGAGGATCCATAGTTCCTTAGGAGCCAGATTAAGAGACCCTACTCCAGAGCCTAAGTGAACTGACCATTCTTCTGCCCACCAGATGGGAGCTCAGAATGTCTGAGCTCTGCAGAGCAGATGGAGTCCGAGGACATGCTGAGCGCCTTAGGCTGGAGCAGAGAAGACAGGCTGAGGCAGAGCTCCAGAGCTGCAAACAGTGCCTTCCCTACACTGTCCCCCATGGTCGTCATGAAGAACGTGTTGGTCAAGCAGGTGAGGAGGACTAATATGGCCCAGGGTCTTTGCAGATAGACGTTATTGAGCTTCCTATGTACAAACTCTCCCTCTGCTAAAGAAAGTTCACAAGTAGATACTAGAACCACACAAACATATTTTCTATCCTAGGCAAGGAACCACCTTTCAACTACTGTCACAATTTTAAAAAGAAGTATGTGGGCTAGGGGTGTAGCTCAGTGGTGGAGTACTTGCCTAACATGTATGAGACCCTGGATTCCATTCCCAGCACCCCTCCCCCAAAAGTGTAGAGTCACCATATATGTCTTCATTTTTGAGACCATTTTTTTTCTATATTTGTGGTTTGCCCAGAGGTACCCTGAAATGCTTTAGCCATATATAAAGGAACCAAGCTGAAATGTCATTATTTCAGTGGTGCACTCTAATACGTAGCATAGTTGAAAGTAGAAACCAAAGAATTTCTTTTTCATTTGAATTGCACTGGGAATTTTAGATATGTAAGGCATTTGTTTCAGAAGTCGAGGCAATTTCTGTCTATCTTACGTGACATTTGGAGTATCTTCATAGTAATCAAGTCAAAAACATGTCATCAGTGTCATAGTGGCAGCTCTTCAGCTTGACTAGTATAGTTCACACAGCTTGTTGCGGAGTTGAAAAATACTTTGTTCTGGGCTTTGTTACGTAACTGCATATTGTATGATTATTGTCTAGATGTGAAAGAAGATTTGGATGAAAACCTAAGCACCAGTGTTTGAGAACTTAATTATACGAACTGGGTTAAGTTACAATAGACAAGCTCAAGAAATGGGAAAGATTGATTTAATTTAAAAACATTTAATCTTAACGTTGTCTTAGCCCGAGTATGTCACAGTTTGTGCAGGGTACACTGATGAGGCTACTTAAAGATAGAAAAGTTTGAAATCCTGCTTTAATGTTGATCTTCCCATTGTATGTCAGCAGTTAGAAGCATGTGGCTGTAGTAAGACAGGAAACCTAATGTCTTAACCGTAACCTGGTTATTTCTGAGGAGCACAGACTTTCAACAACATAGCCTAGAGAATTCTGAAAAAGAATTAGATTTTCCCTTGGTAAATCACAGCACAGCTGGAACCTCAGCTCTCCTTGTTGAAGAGAGAATGAAGACAGGAAATGGAGCCCGAATGAGATTGTCTCGGCCTGCCAGTGCTACCCGTGCTTCTGGGCAGCCTTTCTCTCAGCTCTTTTCTCCCTGCCTCTCGATCTGGCTCCCTAGCTGCTCTTTCTTTTGAGGCTTGTTGATAAACTGTCTTCGTTGTGGGGTGGGCTGGCAGCCCAGGATGCAGCAGCCTACACGCAGGAGTGTGTGGGCTTTCCCAGCAGAGCCGCGTTCTTCAGAGACCCACTGGCAGCACTGCTGGGCTTGACTGGGAGACAGGAGGCGTGGGGACAGGCTGGCCTCATGGAGTAGTCTAGTTTTATTTTTTTAACATGCTAGAATCTGGCATGTCCTAAAATTAAAATAATATACTTTTAAAATCACTTGCATATTGTATAATATCGTGATTACTGCTGCTTGATTCCATTTCTGCCGACAGTGTAATTTTGCACACAGTTTGCCACCATAGACTCCTGTTTCTTCATCTTGAACATGAAATGATTCTGAGGTCCTTCCTGTCCAATTTTATCCCATATTCCCTCAGAATAATGCAATTTGTAAAATCTAGTAATCAGAACAAACTAACCACAGCACTGGGAACAACAAACTAGTAAAATCTTGGGAAAGCAATGTATTAGATATTTGAAGGTAGTTTGAAGTTTTGTTTCTGACTGAATTCAGCTGAAAAGAGCCCAGATTTTGGGACTTCTCTGATAGAGAAGTGGCTTCTGGGCCAGCATTGCTTGCTTTTATACATCCCAGATACATTTGAATGTCAAGAGGGCTTCAGAGTGGGCTTTCTGGATCATCCTGGCATTTGCACAGGGGCGGAATTACAGTTAGTCTAGTCTAATGTTCCTAGCCTAGCTGGCATCCAAGAAGCTGAAGTATGTGCAGAATGACATGCATGTGCATGTGTGGGAAGATAGTCCACAACGTGCTTCCCATCAGGGGCCCTGTGGCGCACGAGGGAGCAGAACCTAGCTGCATCTGCACTTGGGACTTCGGGTTGGAGCTGGACTAGCCGTCAAACATCAGAGATAGTAGCCCGAATCAGTACTTTAATTAAAATAAAAAAGTGTAATTGAGGAACAATGTAATAAAGGCAGTAGCTTTTAATTAGGATGGGTTTTGGGGTCATACAAGATGCATCACTCAGTAGCTTGGTGACTTGAAGCCAGGTATTTCACTTTCTAAGCCTCAGTTTCTGCTTGTGAAGGGAAATGGTAATACCTAATGGGGTTGTTATGGGGTTAACTGAAGTAACCCGTGTAGAACATTGCACACATGCTGGCTGAGAGGCAGCACCAACAAATGGCAGCTGTTACTCTTGAGAATGGTTTGGCGGTTGTTCAGTGTCACTGCCTTAAAAACAGGGACACACAGACTCCTGAAATTTTACCTGAAGGTAAAATTTTTGATGAAAAGCTGTTTTTAATAAGAAATTACAGGCATAATTAAGCAAAGATAAGTTTGGTGTAAAGTCACATTATAATCTTAAGAGTTGCATGGACATCATACTATCTATACAGGTATTGCCTCCATTGTGATCTTAACGCTATCATTATTTAAGTTGGGCATGGTAGTGAATACCTGTAATACCAGCACTCTGGAGGCTGAGGCAGGAAGATCACAGCAGGCTCCAGGCCAGCCTGAACTATATATTGAGGCCCTGTCTCAAAAAACAAACTATATCTTTACTTCATTTACCTGTAGTTTTTTTTTTTTCCTGAATGATAGAATTTGAATAAAAATAAGATATATCCTCAAGTGTTTCTTTAAATAAAGTTAAAAAAAAGTGTCAGACCTAAATGGATTGTCAAGCCACTTCCTCAATCACATTCCTGACCAGGGCTACCCCGATGGAGGAAGCAGTGTCCTAGAGCCAGTCGTGCACATCTGGGTGTGCACCTTGGCCTTGACAGAAGTGGCCCTTCTCTGCCCCGAATGAGCAGCTGCTTTCTTCTGTTGTTTGCAGGGCAGCAGCTCCTCACAGCTCCAGTCGTGGACTGTCCAGCCCTCCTTTGAAGTGATCTCAGCACAGCCACAGCTCTTCGTCCTTCATCCCCCTGTGCCATCTCCTGTCAGCCCATGCCACACCACTGAGAAAAAGTCAGATTCCAGAAACTACTTGCCCATTCTGAATTCTTACACCAAAATAGCCCCACACCCAGGCAAAAGGGGCCTGTCCCTCAGTGTGGAAGAAAGAGGAGCAAGCAGAACACAGAAGAAAGTCTGTACCGAGAGACTGGGCCCCAGCTTGTCTTCCAGCGAGCCAACCAAGACTGGCACTGTACCATCCAAACCCCCTACTCCAGCCCCACCCAGTGCCAAATTAGCTGAGGACTCCGCTCTGCAGGGTGTGCCCTCTCTGGTGGCAGGTGGAAGTCCACAGACTCTCCAGCCCGTGTCCAGCAGCCATGTGGCAAAAGCGCCCAGTCTAACCTTCGCTTCCCCTGCCAGTCCTGTCTGTGCCTCCGACAGTACTCTGCATGGCTTAGAGAGCAGCTCTCCCCTTTCTCCGCTGTCAGCCAGTTACAGCTCACCTCTGTGGGCTGCGGAGCACCTCTGCCGCAGCCCAGATATCTTTCCTGAGCAGCGGCAGAGCAAACACAGGCGCTTTCAGAATACTCTAGTAGTCCTCCACAAGTCCGGCTTGTTGGAGATCACTTTGAAAACCAAGGAGTTGATTCGTCAGAACCAGGCAACTCAGGTGGAACTAGACCAGCTGAAGGAGCAAACCCAGCTGTTTATAGAGGCAGCCAAGAGCAGGGCTCCTCAGGCCTGGGCCAAGCTACAGGCGTCTCTCACATCTGTGTCCAGTCGTCCTGGCAGTGATCCAGAGGCATTCTCTGACCACCCAGACATATAGCACAGAAGCACTTTCCAGTCCTTTGAGTGGTCCTTTTAACTCTTTGCTGTTAACCTACACCTGTTTCCCAAAGCCTCCATAAGAGCTTTTCCTTCTGAACTCACTTATGAAGCCACGTGTCAGTCCCTGGCTGCTGTCTCAAGCTATGGTCTGTGCACGGATTACACAGGTCTCGGTTCCACTGAGGATCTCTGACTCCAGTGTCCTTGAGCCCTTTTTCCTTAGCCTGCAGGCACTTAGCTGGATCACAGGGTAGAGCAGGAAAGAAGATTGTGTGGGGCTCTTTTCTCACCTCCCACCATCCCATTTGGTAACTGGATTAAAAGTGCAGTAACATGGATGAGCAGACAGAGTGACACTTGTCAAGCCAGGAGTAGACGACATGAGGATTCTTTCATAGATTTGCCCTTGAGTTAAATAAGAGGAGGCGTGTTTGTATTCCACAAGGAATCGCGTGCCAGCTGGGCAAGCCTAACATGCTTTGGGCACAGGTCATGCCTGCGTGCAAGGCAAAGCTTTGTTTTCTTAGACTTGAAAGTCAAGGGAAAGGGTAATACCATTTGACTCAGACACTGCAGAAGCCAGATTTTACTTAAACAAGTAGGCAGAGTACTTCATATTTTTAAGGTATGGAATGCATTACCATCTGGAATTGTAGGTGATGGATTATTGTATAGATTGAGAGACCGAAAAAAAGTAGAAAATGCTAGCATCTCTTGGTTAGTAGCTGGAGGATTCTGGTAACTCACACTTTCTTCAAACAATGAAAACATTTTTCGTCTGAGAAGCTCAAGGGTAACTTCAGTGGTTCCTCCATGTATGATATAAGTTGCCCCCCTGCTGCCACTATAGCTGGGTTTTTTCTTTGTTTTTATAATAGAGGGAAGACTTGATTGTGCTTCTAAACTGAATTAAATAAAATCATCCTGAGGTTGTGATAATAAGGCCACAAAATGTTGAAAAACCTTTTCTTTTTGGTTTTTTACACAGGGTCTCACTGTGTAGTTCAGACTACTGACCTTGAATTCACTATGTAGTCCAGGCTACAGCGATCCTCCTGCCTCAGCCTCCTGAGTAGGGATTATAGATGTGTACCACCACTTCCAGCTCCTACAAAGAAAATACTGAGCTTTTACTAAGCCCAGAAGTTAATGATCATTTTACTGGGTAGTTGTAACTCTAACATAGTTTAGAAATCTTAGGAGTTCTGATTGTCTGTACTGTGTTTGCAGACACATATTTATATATGACTGATTTAGAAATAAACAATTCAGTTAAGTGTTCAGTCCCTTTAATCAACACAGAATTATTACCTGCTGTTCGCTTTTCTCAATGAGTTTCCAAAATCAGAGCAAACGTGTGTCTCTAATCACACTTAGCTCCTTGTAATGTTTTTCTCTTGGCCCATTCCCTTTACCTCCCTTGAATCTGCATGGTGCTATAGCCACTCAACTCTGCACCATGCTAGGAAGCTTCCTTTTTGGCAGAAATACGTTTGGCAGAAAAGCTATAGAGACAGGTGCATTTAGAACAGCTTGGGCACCAGTCATGAGTCTTACTGAGTGTCAGAAATCTGAAAACGCTCGCTGAGAACCAAATGTATTCCATTTGGAAAGCCCTTGGAAGAGCTGTAAACTGCTTGGACTCTTCCTAGATTAGATTTGCTTTTCCTTTTCTGCCCCTGTAAAAGATGATGAAAGCCATCACTGATCCTCACTGCTGAGTGGCAGGGAGAGGGGCACCCGTGGGCTTTTCTCTAATGTACTAGAGCTGTAAGTCTCTAGGCTGTCAGTGTGGATGTTCTTTTCCTGGTAGAGCTGGAAGTGAAGGAACCCAAGCAGAGAAGCTAGATTATAAAAGGAGAGACCCTGAAACCAGAAGCCAGATCAGCAAATGGAGGAGCTTCGGAGTTGACCAGGAAGATCATTGGTTGCACAAGGCTGTAAGTAGCAATGGCCCTAGTGATGCATGAAGTAGTTTGGTATGAAGTGCTGGGGCAAATCTGTTTTAGGAAAGTGAGAAGCCAATTTTAGCTCAAACGCTTAGAACTTCCAACAGATTTGATTGGAAATACTGAAACATACAGAAAAAGCTTCGGATTGAATCAGTTACGGAAATGCAGTTTAATGACATTTGTAATTTATTACACTCATTGCTTTTTATTGATTATAATATTGTCTGACTTTGTTTCTCTACTAAGATTCCCTAGCAGAAAAGTAATTCTCGTGCATATATTGAAGTGGTTTTCCAGCTATGAATTCTTTAGGGTAGAAACTTACTTACCAAATGTGAATTCGGAGAAGGTATGAAGTTACATAGAAATTGACTGTGAAATGTCAGAGAAAAATAAAAGTCACTTACTTGAAAACAATTTGGCCTATTTGCTTCCTAACTGCTTAAAAATTACACGTAAAATCTAGAGTAAATATATGAACTGATTTTAAGTTCCAAACATAGATACTTGTGCCATTTGGGAATATTGGGATTGGATACCGAATATGTGGAAATTCATTGTTCATACTTTCATAGTGTGGACTTAAAAAGAATACCAATCAGTTGTAAGGAAAATGCGTAGTTCATCCTTCCTCAGAGCCTTGGGAGGTGTATGCTGCAGAGGTTGGGAGAAGTGAGAGAGTACAATCCAGAGATTTCTTCCTTCTAACCTGACATTTCACAAATAGGACATTTAAATGGCAGAACTATTACAGATGTATATGAGGTTGAACTAAAGCCACAGTAAGTGACATTCTTCCCACAACAGGTCCTGAGAAGTATGTCTCAGCACCTTCCTGTGTGCTTTCTAAAACTTCTCTCAGCAAGGTTCTGGAGACTCAACAGGGAGATGTGGAAGCCCTTCCTGCTTCCCAGGCCAGTCAGAATCCCCTTCCCGGGGTTTTTAAGATGCTAGAATATACTTACCCTCATTAGAAGGCCTATAACATTGCTACAGTCTAAGTCTTATAGTACTGTTTCTGTCCTATGCAATTAGCTTAAGTGACTTTCAAATTTATGGCTATTAGGGGTACTAAAATGAAAGAACAGTCTGTAAACGTGGCTAGAGAAGGCCCCTAACCAATAGGAAAACTATCCTTCCTAAGAAGTAGAGTCCAGAGAAGTAGAACACCCCATAAGTAGATCCTGTGAGGTTTAAGGGAGCCCAGGTGCTCGAGTTTACAGCTCTCAGTATTTCCTGTAGGTAGAAATACCTACCCAGCTAGGACTGCCTGTGTACAGGTCTGTCTAAGCCACATCATTGATGCCATCACCACAGATGGCAGCCTGATACAGAAGGTTTCTAAAGGCCTGCATTCACATGTCACATCTATTATTTATTAACTGGTGGCTTTGGCTAAGATAGCCTCTCTATATGTCACTCCTCTCAGCTACATAATAAAGAACTAGTTATCTCTAAGGTTCTTGCCAGCAGTAAGTTTTTTAACATCTATAGTTGTGTTACAGGTAAGCCATATACTACATTAACTTAAAAAAAATTGGGGTGTTTAGAAAAGAGGTTCCCAGAGCTCCAAATAAGATGGTTTTATATTAAAATGTTCTTTCTGTAGGATTTTTAACTTGCAGTAGGTGTCTATGGGAGAAGCATTTCCCAATCTGCACTGGTTTTGCCTTTCCTGTAATCACTTACTTACAGCTATCATGAACGCACTAATTCCCAAATTTAAAAACTGCTTTCAAACAATTTTCAAAGAATTTTTTTCAAATTCTTTCTAAGAGTTTTTATTAGTCCAAAAGGAAAATAATTTGTGATTGAATCGCATCCTGTCCTTTGCCGGTCAGTCATCTGCAAACAGCCCTTCCCTTTCATCTGACATAAAGGGCCTGTTTCATATTGTGTAGAGTGTATCAATTAGCTTTTTATTTCCTCTCAGACTTCTCTCCTGCAGCCGGGAGTGCAGTTTCTCCCTGTGCTGTAAGGTTGATAGATAACACAACTTCTGCTGTCTGTAGAGACCACACTGAGTAGTACCTGTGATGTCTCTGTTCTGGCTGCATTGCCTGGGCATCACCTTCTACCCACATGGGGAGACAGGTTAGATATGAGAATGGGCTGCCTGCCTGATGAAACACAATCAGAGTTGCTGAGAAAGGCTACATGGCTGGGCTCTTGTAATCCTTATGTCTGCTACCTCAGTTTCCCTTATCAAAGAGGAGGGAGAATTCTTGTTGTCACTTGACATCCTGAGCTCAGGGTGCAGCACGGGAGGGTGGTGTCTTAGAGTTTTGAAACTACTTTGCAGAGCAAGGCAGTCGCCAGCACACAAACCCAGGGATAAAACTCGGGAGACCATGCAGCCTCTGAAGGGCTGTCATTTGCTCAGGATAATTAAGACTATCTTCTACCAACATTTCGTACAGTTAACAGGAAGAGAGCAAGTGCCAACCTGCGATGGTTTCACTTTGCCTGGCTTTTCTGGAAGGAGACATCTGTGGGTCCACGTGTGACGACTTTGGCTTTTCCTCTCAGTCCCTCCTTCATTCTTATAACATGTGGCCTCCCTGTCTTTATGAAGGATGGTTATGCAAGACATTAGAGAATTGCTTGAAAGAACAGTCTGCATGACTCCTGCCTCAAATTATAGCAGCTGGAGGAGATGAGCAAGAAAGGGAGCAAAGCCTGCAGAGTACGAAGTGAACACAGCGAGTGGGTGGAAGCTGTTAGGAAATGAAGGGGAATAAAAACTGAAAGTAGGATCCCGAGGCAGCCCACGTGAGAGCCCCAGTCAGGTGGGCGACTGCCGTCCAAGCAGGGCCTACTGAGTGGCTTGAGAACCTGCGAGTACAAATAGCTGCCTTTAATTTTCATAAAGACTCACTTTATCTCAGGAACTGCAGTAGCCTTGGAAGGATACTCATTCATTCTGGTGAATGGCCTAGGACAGAGGAGAGCTCAGGGCCTCTTCCTTTGAGATGCGCCTGCAAGCTTTGCTTGCTGGGTGGGCAGATGGGAGGGCGTGGCCTGGAGCCTGTCCTTCATTTGGGGCTGACAATAAAAAACCAAAAGCCTTTAAGAATCAGGATTCCCTACTTCTGCGAGATGGTAAACCATACTGTCTCAGCAGAGAGTTGGATTGAAATCACCGCCTGCACTTAGCGCTCCTACAGAGAAAAACTGGCATGGGAGAGGCAAGGGGAAGCTTCCCATTACCCTCTGAAGGTCCCCTGGAATGAACTGACAGTAGTTCGGTCAGGAGACAGGGCATCTCATTTGTTAACATGCATGAGGGAAAAATCACAGGAGCATGATTGCTGCTAACCCTTTGAGACTCAGATGGTTGCCTGCCCTTCCTTGTAGGGGAAAGGGAAATGGCAAGATGTAGGGGTGAAATTCCCTGGATTCCTTCATCCTAGAGTCAAGGGAAGAAAAGCCGGGAAAAGGTACACACAAATAGAAAAGGCATCTTCAGCAGGTCCTGCATCATCTTTAACACATGCAGGAAAACCTGGCTTGGAAGCCCGGTGAGCCTTCCCGGTGAATGTTTAATTCTGCTTCCCTCTGTTCTCCACAAGCCTCTGGGCCTCTCCTTCTCACTGCACAGCTCAGGCAGCGCAAATGAATGTTCATCTAAACAAAGCAGGAAGGGCAAGGACTACCACACCCAACAGCCCAGGATGCCCACAGCCCAACACAGTAGCAGACATGGCTGAGGAAGCACGTTTTCAGTAATGGTTCCTTGCAATTCAGTGGGCTGAGGGGCTGGATAACTTACAGAAGCATCCCCTATCCCTTAAAGGATATCCAAACTGATGCTTGTCTAGTTAAGGTGTATTTAGAAGTATAGTATTGTGCGTTCCACCCTGTGATGATTTTATTCTTGATGCATTTTACAAGCATTAGTTACACTGTGAAGCTCCTAGCTAGTAAACTACTAACATTGCTGATGGTGCTAGGCAGGTTGGGTCACTGATGATTCCCTTTTGCTCAGCCCCTGCGAGGACTGGCTTCCTGGTCCCACCACAGGAAGATTAGGGAATGTAGGAGAGCACACACTGGATGGTAATTGTATCTGCCACTGTGATTTTCTTTTCTTAATTTAAGGGACTAACGGGTCGTAGGATTCACAGGTTCAAAGGTGAGGAGGCACCAGATAGCACAAGTTAGCCCTGGGTAAATCTCACTTTGGTAACTTCTAAAAATCCTCACACATGGTCCTCATTACTCGGTTGCTCCTTCTTCCTCCTCCTCCTCCTCCTCCTCTTCCTCCTCCTCCTTCTCCTCCTCTTCCTCTTCCTCCTCTTCTTCCCTTCTCAGTTATTTGTAATTTCAAAGCCTGATCATTTCCACTTCTAAAACTTCTAATGAAGTTAGCTAAGAAGAGCTTAGCTCCTGAAGCTTAGCTAACCAGAGCATTGTCATTGTCACTTCAGGGTGACAAGCATATTGTTACCATGGTTTTGGTCCTAAGTGCTAACTGAGCTGTAGAGCACTGCCTGATGACTGACACAGACAAGTTCCCTGCTTCTTATCTCATGAGGGGTACCAGTGACTACCAGTCAGCTATTGCTTTGATGGTTCTCATTAGATCTTCTACACCCCAAGTGAGATACAACTTTGCACCCTCTGATTAGGGCAAGAGTCCTTATTGTCAGAGTACTGGCAGCAGAAGTGTTGCAATAGGCACAACACATCAGCTGGCAAGTCCACCCCAGCACCACACAAGCATGCTGGAAGTTCTCAGAAGTGGATTATCCTGCTCAGCAACTGACCTGAGTTCTGAGCTCAACCACAACAGAGCCGTCTGCTTTCCTTAGGCTTTCCCCAGCTGCTGCCAGCAGTCATTTAGAGGATCCTGCCCCTCCTGCCTCACCCCAGTCCCGGCCCTAGCAGCACCAAATTCTTGTGGAGGCACAGGGCCTGTAGAGACACCTGTGGTCCCCAGTCTTGGACTCGGCAGCTGAATCAGGAACCATGACCAACAGGAAAAGTAATGATGCAAGGCTGTGCCTGGTGCCTAAGGCAAGTTCCAGGCCAGAGCTAAGGAGCTCTGTCAGGCTTAGAGAGGAACTCAAGGTGAGCTGGGATCTGAGCTCAGCCTTGGCATATGGTAGAGCAAAAGGAGAGGCAGAGGAATAGTGTTTTAGCCGAAGGAAAGAACATGAGTAGCGTGAGTGTGATCATGAGAACTACCATGGATTCAGGTTTGAGGCTGTCTGTGTGAGCCTAGCAAGTTACATAAGCTCTCCGGCCTTGCTTCCTCATGTGTTGGGTTACTCCCTATCAATACTACAGGACTGTGCCTTGAAGTGTCTATTAGTGCCGCTGTATGGTGGGTGCTCAGTGAAAAATGATCATAAAATTGTTACTGCAGGTGAACAGTGTGTTGGAGCAATGAGCTAAGCTGGCCTCCACCCAAG